CTTTTATAAAACTCCCATATTTGTAAAAGTAATGGCAATTTCTAAAAAAACCAGATTCTAAACATTTCCCAAAGATATTTTGATCTGGTCGATCCGCATCCCTAGTATTACGTTTGTTTGGTGCACCTATAAGTCTTACCAGGGTTTTTCGTCATCTGGACGAACGTCTGCAGGACATAATTGTTCAAGCTATTTCAAGAGTGACAATATTTCTTTACTAGATCTAGTATTATGATCCATATCTCTTTCACCGATAGATCTCCTACACTTCTAGTGTCAAGGAGTATCGATAGATATGTTTGGTCCAAGGATATATGACCTAGTCACTTCTTTTATGATCATTATGATCAATAGATGTATTTGGCAGATTATTTGCTAAAATCGCAAATAGATTATCTTTTGAACTTCCAGTTCAATCTAACTAGTACATGGATTTGAATGAAGATGTTTTTATTCTTATGAAATTTCTTGGCATTCCAAAAAAGCTACGGAGTAGTATATTATCTCCCCCTAATGCCGAGAAACAATCTTCATTAGGAATGCAGTCAACGTACCCAATTATATGTATTGATCCCCTATCATGGGCTTTCGGTGTTTAATCAATAGACGGAGATTTCTTTGATAGCCCTTTTAGAGGTACGTTATGGTGGTGATATAAAATAGACTGCGCAAATAAAATAATGCAGATAGGGAAATGTTACTTCTGAAAACACGTACTAGGTTTAAGAAAAGGGGTATAGCAATCCTTGAGGGATTGATTTGTGATATGCAATGAGTTAGACTTAGTAACGTCAAGCAATCCTTCGGAGATTGATGGGATAGGTTGACCATTTTTGGTCAAGAATTCATTGTCAAGATTCATCCTAAAAGGATGACTTAGAGAATTAAAATCCTTAATCTACCTTCTGGGCAAATAAATATATAAAACAATGAGGGCTATTAATTTAAATATCATATGTCCAAATCTCATGTCAAAAAGTTTCTATAGCAGAAACTAGCACGGTAAACATGTCATAGCCTTTAACTATTATCACATGCAAGTTAAGGTTTAGCAACAACAGGTGCAACCTAACCATATTGAGAATTCATGATGTTGCCACACTTATAAGTTGGGTGATAAATCTCAATAGCTATGGCCTATAGCAAATAATTAATTGCCAACAAGAAATAACAAAAGCTCTTATATGAGCCTAATCAAGAGATTATATGCTAAAACTTGTCAATTAAAGAGAAGCTTGCAATAGCATGTGATATAATTGTCCCTTATGTCTTGGACACCAAACTCTCTATTGAGTCATGCACATCCATTAAATAAAGAGTATCATGTTTAGTACACACAAGGCATGACATGACAAGAGATATTGTTTATTAATTCATAAATTAGAAAAATGAGAGAAGTATCGTTCGCCGAAGAATAATGAGCATATGTTCGCTGCCGGGCCCATTCATTCCTATTTTGGGGAGTCAAAAATAGCACTTTTCCAATCAAGCTCTCATTTTATTTCATAGTTTAATATCAGCATAAAAACATCACAAAATAGCAAGATATACAAGCTGAAAACGGCAGAAAATTTCAGAATTTTGACCTGGATTGCAGAATTTTCTGGGGGAAAACGGTAACACATTTTGACACAAAATTTGGCATATATGTAGTTCAGCAATTCTAGAACGTACATAAAAATTTTCATATCAATCCAAGGTGTGGAAGTATTTTTTCTGAAATTTTTCACAATATTGCTCCAGGCAGAAAAATAATTGGCAGCACACTGCCAAAACTTTACAAATTTTTCTGGAATAACCAAAGCATATTTTTAACAAAATATTTTTACAGACATCAAATATCATGAGTCTAGGTTCTCCAGAAAAAAATTCAAGCCAAAAGGAGTTCAACAAGTATTTTTCACGAATTTAATTTTCAAACTGCGCCTGTCAGAATTTTCAGGCAGTGATTACTATGTGTAAAAAAAAATCACAACTTGTTTGCTTCAAGCAAACCAACATGATGTGAGTCAAATTTGACTTTTGGAGAGTAACATAGCATTAGAAATAGAAGTTGCAAACTTCATTCATGAGCCATTAGTCACTTTAAAGATCAATCCACATTCAGGGTCTTCCAGACCTTATTAAAAAAAATAGTCCAATGACCAAACACTTAGCATAATTTTGTCATGTACTTTTACTGTGGAGTACAATGTGACAATCATAACTGACGGGCAAATAAATTAGTGCTTTTGGTTTACCTTCTGGGCAAAACTATATTAAAAAAAATTAGGTATTATCATTTCATTTAAATATTTAGATTTGAGATCTATTTCAATGCCAAAGGCTCATGTGAAATAATTTGTATAACAAATTAGCACCATCAATTAACTTTTAAAATAATACAAAGTCAATTTTACATTGGAGAAACTGCCCTAGTGCTGTTATTTTTAATTTGTGCTATGACTTGTTGCCTTCTGGGCAATGCTATGTTTAGAATTTTGGCTATAATCACTTGTTGATCAAGACAATCCTTCAGGAACAGTCATATAATAAGTGTTTCATTTCTTGGCAAAAATTACATTAAGATTTAAAAAAAATCTTATAAACATTAAGAGCATTAACACTAGGGCCAACACCTAGCAACACAACATGCCAACCACTAACAGGTTCATTGAAAGCACATGCACTGCCACGAATTGGAACATGGGGCAAGACCAAAGTGTTTAAATTATTAAAAGTATTAATTGTGGCATAAGAGTCACGAGGCGCTATGGCCGAACTGGCAGTTTGACATGCACCATTATTAGTCACGCAAGTAGGTGTGACCCTAGTCCCCATTACCAACACTAAGTGATACATTAGCAGTAAACAATAGCACTGTCACTAAACAAAGTAAGTAGTGGCAGTGTGGTTTAATAAGTGTGGTCACACCATATGCTATTATAAGGTGACTTAAATCCACCGTCAATAACAAAAACACATGCACAGAGCACAGGTCCTGTTATATAGTTCTTCAAAAAAAAACCTTTGGCATCAAACCCATCATATTAACTAAATAAACAAAGGTAGGATTAGAAGCCTTATAGACCGAAGGCTAAAATCATAGTGAGTAATGGACTCGGTGTGAGCCGCCCATTTGGATAGAACCACAAAATTTTATCCACCCAATTATATTCTTTCTTCATTCTTTATATACTCCATATGGGATCTGCCCATTTTCTTGTTATTATCATTAAAACACATGGTGGATAGCTAACCAATAATAATTGATAATACTCAGAGACACTTATATGATCTGAGCCTCATATAAAATGAAAACAGACACTCTGCTGAACATAAAACCATACTAGGAAAATAAGAAAACGCTGGTCTACTCCTGTAGTTCCATGCCTTGCATTTTTTATTTTTATTTTTTTAAAAAAACCCCCTAGATCGCACTCATAATTGGACGTTGAACTCAAAAGTTGATTATGAGTGAACAATTATCAAAGAGACACACATGCATGCTTATGTATATCTTCATTAATTCCTATTATATTCTTGCTATGCAGGGAATATATACTCCGTAATTCCTATTCCCGAGAGAACATCCTAGTGCTATAGGCTTGGTTATTCTCATGCATTCTTATTGTCTGGTTCTCCATATAAACAAAATCATCCTTACTTAATACCGATGTACTTCCAACATGAATATGTTTAAGCAAATTTAAGAATGCAAATCAAAATATATCAATACCAAATGCCCATATCTCAGCATAAACAAAGTTATGGCGTACCGTTCACCGAGGATGGCTGGCTGCACATCAACCACCTGGGTAGAGCTCACAGCCAAAGTCGAGGAGGGTTCTGCCCAGCAAAGCTAGTAGTCGCCGACAAACTAAAACCAATACCGCCATCCGTCTACGCACCGATTTCGGCGAAAGATGAATGATGGTGGCCGATCAACAATCAAACCATCGGAGAAGGATCGCAGCAACGAGATAACTCCATCCCTACCATCCGATCTTTGATCAACCGGGAACTGCTCCGTCGATGAAGACCGCAATGATTTGTGAAGTGTCTCCACCGCGTCAAGCCTCTGTGTTTCTTGACGGCGATCGATCTGGGGTGCAAAGAGAATCAGAGGCGCAGAGAGGAGACAGATCTGTTCACCGGACTGTGAAGTCCGATCGCCGGTAGATCCCAGGGCAGAGAGGTCGAGGCGGTTCGGTGAGAAACTCCTAGACGCCGCCTCTCGCCGGAGCGGGCTGGAGTGGTGAAGCAGACCATGTCGCCGGAGGTAAAGCCCGTTACTCACTCCTCGCCTCAACCGTTCGCCGCGATGGAGGTAGCGACGAGCACTCAGGCCGATCGCGATAATCCGGCTGCGAGTGCGGAGCCGACAGGGAAGGCGGGCGATCATCCTTTGAGCGTCGAACAAACACGCTGGGATAGTGCATCACCATATCGCGCCAAAGGTAGCGCACCGACAATTGGGGCTGCTAGGGAGGTGGTGGTAGAGCAAGTACTGATAACGTGTTAAAATAAAAACAGAATGGAGAGAAAAGGGGAATCGCATATTCATTCATCTGTATTTTTCATATTACAACAAAACATATATATAATATACATTTGTAACGGAAGGTAATAATGGTAGACATAAATATGACCGTTACATCAGTTACATAATCAACTCATAATGTCCACACTTAATTATATTTATAACAATCTTTATTTAATCTACTACTCTCTCTGTCCCATTTTACATGTCTTACTTTCCCTTTTAGTTTGTCCCAAAATAGTGGAGTTAATTCCAGTAATGGTCCTCCAACTATTGTAATTTTCCAAAATTAATCTTCATCTATTAATTTGGACAAAATAGACCCTTGACTATCAGATTTGTTCCTGCATTAATCCTTATGTTAAAAGATCACTTTATTAGGCGTTAATATAGGACTAAAATGGTCTTTTTCGTTAGCTTCTTCTTCCTCCCTTTTCTGGCGGTCACTCTCGCAAACACCATCAAACCTGAACACCTCTCACCATACAAATGCCGACACCGGATCACCACACATTTGCATAGCTTCAGCCTGGTTTTCCACCCTCTCCTTCGCAGTTAACATGTCGCCATGTGTCAGTATCAACATTGGGTTCTCATCTGCCACCATTTTACACCATAGATAACAGATTACTTACGTTAGTTGTTTTAATTACTTCTGGCCCCTACATGCCCTTATTGCTTTTGTTACATTAATGAAAAGTTTATAAAATGGAGTGAAGAAGAAGAAGAAGAAGAACTCACTTGATCTCCTAATGGATGGGGAGTGAAAGATCATCTTTATAGCTTCAACATGCTTCAAATCACCAGAACTGAAATCCTTACAAGCTTCTTCCATGTCAGCCACCACCAGCACACAATTAACTCTCCTCTTACAATAAGACTTGGCACAACGCCCCATGGATTCCATAATCATCTCTCCATAGACCCCAATCCCACGATCAGCATCACTCCCCCTGCAACATGGTTGGTTATGTCGAACACCATCCGACATTTATGACCAATCATCCTCCATTCTCTCGTCCATTTTGTCGCAGTCCAATCCCCTCGTGTCGTACACGCAAAACCCACATTTTTTTTTAAAATCTCAGAACATTGTGTTCTTCCAAAGCGGAGTCTGGTTCCCTAAACCGCGGCAGATCAAGGGCGGTGGTGCGGGTGATGATGGTGATCGATTACGCCACCCTCGATGTGAAGTTTCTGGAGTAAATGTTTCACCTTCAAGAGAGAGGAATTCCAGATTGGATTTTTCATGCTCTCACCTGCTAGTGCTCTCATCTTCAGTAAATGCTTTATGCTCCAGATTGGCTGTGGGGGATTTGGACGGATGTGGAAATGACCGAGTAAGGGAAATTTCCTTTTTAGCCCTTCAGTAACATCTATTTAACGGTTGGTTAACAGAAGGACCAATGATGGAACAATTCTGATAGTCAAGGGTTTATTTTGTCCAAATTAAAAGATGAGGACCAAATTTAAAAAATGACAATAGTCGGAGGACTATTGCTGAAATTAACTCCAAAATAGTGTCATCTTTTTTAAATTGAACATAACTATCACTCTATATTTTTCAATTTACCCTTTTGACTTTTCAAATTTCTAGAGGTAAGTACAATTGTATTGTGTACAAATAACATACTTTTGAGGGGCAAAATTGAAAATTTAGTAACATTTGTTATACTATATTAAAAACCGTGCAAAAAGCAAATAAGACAATCAATTAGAGACGGAGGGAGTAGTATTTTATATGCGCGATGCGCACAAATATATGCTCAATATTAATACTTAATGTTAAAATATTAATTGAAGGATAAATTAGTCTTCAGAGGGGCTAATTTGGTAGCGGATGTGATAAAATAAATTGTACTTCCTTTCTTGAATATAAACTAGGGTAATAGCAATTCTTAATCATAGAGAGAATATGAGAGGTATTGGCTCAAAGAAGCTTTGTTATTGAATGTTGTAGAGAAAAGTAGAAGAGAGGAATCCCCTACTTATGACCTTTATATAGGCAGAGGTCATGACCATTCAGAAATAAAATATTTTTTCAAAAGACATTTGACCATGACTCGAATAACAAACAGATGCACAAAATATATAGGGAAGTATACCTGGGGAATAATCCCTATCAAGTAGCCCCCACACCGTACCCTGACGTCGAGCAAATGAGGAAGGGTTCGGGCTGAAATATCCGATCACATAGTCTGTGATGGGCCCCTCAAGTTTGAGTTGAGCATACATGGTGTGATTTATGTTGGTTGCCTCGTTAAAAAACCTTACACTAAGAAAAACTCAGTGGAAAAAACTTTAGCTAAGGAAAAAGAGTACAACCATGGGTGCAATCTTTTGGACGATCGAGTGATCAAATTTACTGTTATCTAGAGATCCAACCAATCAAGAGATTGGATTTATTCACGATCTAGGGATCGAATTTACTATGATCTAGCTATCAAATTTCACCAACCGATTGGATTTTCTCATGATCTAAGGATCGAAATTTACCAATCAAGAGATTGGATTTTCAGTGTGATCTAGTGATTAAATTTACCCGTGGTGGGAGGACAAACCTGAACGGGTTTAATAGCCTACTTTGTAGGACTTATGTCGAGATCTGATCCTGGACTTAATTTCCAACTTCGTAGGGCTTATGCCGATATATGATCTTGGACTTTAATTGCCTACTTTGTAGGGCTTATGTTGAGATCTAATCCCAGATTTAATTGCCTACTTCGTAGGTCTTATGTCGAGATATGATCACGGACTTAATTGCCTATTGCGTAGGACTTATGCTGAGATATGATCCCGGAGTTAATTGCCTATTTCGTAGGGCTAATGCCGAGAATTGATCCCGGACTTAATTGCCTACTTTGTAGGACTTATGCCGAGATCTGATCCCGGACTTATAGTGCTGGTGGTGACAAGGACGACTTGATCGGGCTTGGTATATACATATATTCACTGACTATTCTAAATACATGACTGTGATTTTGTGAATAGTACAATTTACAAAGCAAGTTTACACTAAAATTTTTCAAATTCTAAAATTTTTGCTTCAGTTGGTCACAGCTTCGAACAGGAAGGGTTGAGCACTAATGGAGCTTGGTGCGGTTTTTAACCTTGAAATCCTTTGTTTTGTTTCTCTTCTTATTTCTTCCTCGCCTTTTTTTTTTTTAAGATTCCAATTAAAATGGTTTTGTTTCAATGTCTCTCCAACCACTAATCCTTTCGAGTTTGTGGGTAGTCTGGTACCACTAGCACCACTGGATTTATGGGCTCCACCGCCCGACATTATGTTGCCATGACTATAATTCCCAGTCCTAGACCATAAAAACATCGGTCTTTGTAGCCCGGTTGGCCATGCTTATCGTTAGAACCTTGCCGAAAGGGTAGATGTTACCGGCCGGAGAGTATTCAAAGCCGGAGAACTAACTGAGGTTCTTCCGGAGTAGATTAGCAGGTGGAACCGCCGGAATCAGACTTCGCATATATAGACCGGCTTGGACCAACGCGCCGTTAGTGAACTGTTGACCCAGCCTGATAGCTCACCAAAGTAGTTCAAAATCGGTCCGCTTCTAAACCAGGTTGGTCCCATTTTGATTTGAGGCCGATTTAGACGAGCTATAGCTACTACTTGTTCATGAAAAGTAGGTAGAGCTAGAGCTACTACTTGTTCGATCTAAATGTTTAGGATTTAAACATATGACATGCTCTGATACCAATGCTCATGATGAAGTAGTAAACTACTCTGATACCAATCATCCATTCATCTTGATACAGGATATTCAAAGATTCGAATGCATGATTTCATGATATTAATGTCCTCTAATTGGAGTTATATGCAATGACAATGATTTTTTTTACCTTGAAAAAGGGGTAAATATGAACTTTAAAATTTATTTATTTACTATGTTTTATATTAATTATATTTTATTTTGACATTTGATTTATGAGGAACGTGGGGAGATGGTGCATATTGTCATAGTAACAGGATATGCCACTGTGAATGGCATTCCTTGTTACGAAGTGGGAGGATGGTGCATATTGTCATAGTAACAGGATATGCCACTGTGAATGACATTCCTTGTTACGAATTAAAAATGCATGGGCATAGATTGGGCAAACGATGGTCATGGATTAGTCTGATTTGGTGGGTGCACGAGGGACCTGCATGTCAAGAGGAGGCTGACTTCGACTGGACAGCTTTAAAGGACCGGATGAGAGAGCGATTCTATCCAGCGCATGTCCGAGCTGCTATGTACGAGGAGTTTCTACATCTCCAGCAGGGTTCATCGTCTGTGGTGGAGTACCACAAACAATTCTTGGAGCTCGATCGTTTTGCTAAGATGCTAGTCCCCACCGAGCTTGCGAAAAAGGTTACATTGAATCGTTTGCTTATATCGGATAGAAGAAGATATTTGTGAAGCTAGCATATATCCTTTTATAGGAAGGAGAAGTGATTTTAGCGAAAAAAAAAAAAAGCTACCAATGAGATTATTATTTTAATAATTAAATTTATATTTTATTAAAATTTTAAATTAATATTTAAAACTTTTTAATAATATTTAAAACAGATGGTCAAATATAAAGCTAGAAAAGTGGATTTAGTTAATTTTGTTGTAGTTTTCCAGCTTGACTAGTTGTTAGTAGTATTATCTACATACTATGCTCTGATACCAATTGTCATATCTAAATGTTTAGAAATTAACATGTGAAATGCTCTGGTACCAATTTTAATGATGAAGTGATAAATTGCTTTAATGTCAATTGTCTATTTTTTTTTCTTTTTTTTTTTTTTCTTCAAAGTATGACTTTTAATGTAGTTGAAAATGTAGAGATATATATTTTAACACGCACTTTTTGTAGGGCTATTTATGTGTTTATTATGATTTTTTTTTGCACCTTTTTTTAATATCTAAAAACTTTTAAATCTCTCTTCAATTCTTTTTTAATCTTTATACAAACTTTGTCAATTAATCCAATCGTAATACAATTATCGAATATTATAATTTTTTAAAAGATTAAATTCATATTCATTTAATCTATTAGTATTTTACATGCTCTCACAAATATATATCCAATATTAATACTTAATGTTAAAATATTAATTAAAGGATAAGTTAGCCTTCAGAGAGGCTAATTTTATAACAGATACTTTGGCAGTTCAGGATGTCATGTGCTCGGGGCCTATTGTTTGTCATGTGCTTGTAGTCTATTGCTCTTTGTTCTTTTCCTTTTGACGTTTCTCGGCTTGTTTAATAAATTATTTTTTTTTGCTAACAAATGTTAAAATTTTAGTTATATTAAAATATTTTTAAAAATTACATATATATATATATATATATATATATATATATATATATATATATATATATATATATATATATATATATATATATATGGTAGGGAATATCCCGACCGACATAAGCTTTACCCCGACCTCCTTGCCTTTGTTTTCCTCTCTTTATTTTGCAGGTAACAGGTCGGGCTTCATGTGAAGAACCCGGTCGGGGTCTGACCGGGAGTTGCCCGAGCAGTAGTGTCGACCACCGAGCGGTAGCCCTTTGGCGAGAGAGCTGACAAAGGACACGTGGCAGCTCTTTACGACGACAGACAGGGCACCCGGGAAGATGACACATGGTGGCTACGTGGAGAACATGCCGAACGATCGGATTCTTGTCCCCGGCACAACGGCTATAAATACCCACAGTAGCTACAGTGTAGAGGACTTTTGGACGATCGATAGGTTGTTACTAGAGAATCCCGACCGCAGTCAGTCGGCACTCAGAGCAACCAAGTAGATTGTACTTAGGGTCTCTATCGTGATCAATAAAGTTTTTAATTGCTTTAATTGGTTTCGGGTTTATTCTATATTGCTTACGTAGAATTAGCAGTATCAATATATATATATATATATATATATATATATATATATATATATATATATATATATATATATATATATATATATATATATATATAATTTAGGGAAAATGGCACTTTTTCCTCCTAAATT